AGAAAGAAAGAAAGAAAGAAAGAAAGAAAGAAAGAAAGAAAGAAAGAAAGAAAGAAAGAAAGAAAGAAAGAAAGAAAGAAAGAAAGAAAGAAAAGAAAGAAAAAGTGCCCCTTCTTCGCTACACTTTCCCGACTGATTCTCGAAACCAGGGCCTTTGCTGCCCTCTGCTGGAAGATTGTTGTAAGACGTGTACAAACGGATTCCGCCTCCGATGCAAATTGAGGCCCCTTAAAGGTGCAGTCTTTGCTCTGTGCACAGCGCACACCGTCGTGGGTAGAGGCTCTGAGAGCAGTTTAAGTGTGTCCGTCACTTTACAATCGGCAAAGCACTTGGCTCTACGTTTTATCATTTAACCCTCAAATAAGTATTATTCAGCTCATTTTACAGAGTCAACTAGAACATAAAAGACTCTCATGAGCTAAAATCGACCTCGGTTAAAATTTCAAGTCCTTTGTTCTTTACACTAAGAAAGAAAAAAACACCTCTGGTCTTCTTAGGAAACACTAGTGAAGGCGAGAGTCCAGGCAATCGCTGACGGGTGTCCATCAGCACCAGCCGCTTCTGCCTCCTCGGCACGTCCGCCCCAGCTGCGGCTTAACCGGTGTCTCTGTGCCGGTACCGAGGACCTGATACGGAGTCTCGTTGAGGTAGTTCTGACGCTTTGGGACGAGCACTAGATTCGGGGACAGCGTGCTGGCTCCACACCGCGGAGTCCGGGGACCACCACGGATCCTCTCTCCAGATCCAAGCCTGAGCCCCCCATCTGTAAAATGGGAGTCTCCAGTGCCTTCTCTTTCTCGTGGACAGACCACAGAGCTCCCAGACAGACCACAGAGCTCCCCAGACGGACCACAGAGCTCCCAGACGGACCACAGAGCTCCCCAGACGGACCACAGAGCTCCCCAGACGGACCACAGAGCTCCCAGACGGACCACAGAGCTCCCCAAACAGACCACAGAGCTCCCTGATCTTTCTCCACAAATAATTTCCACCTTGTGCTCTTTTTCTGTGTTCGGGAGTTAGAATCCCCAATCACTAATTAGGTTTTCTTCCCATTCTGTCCTTCCTTATCTCTGCTAGGCTTTTCATTTCCTCCACTGTGCTTTCCATTTCCATGAGCTCTGTTCTTTAATGGCTCACTTGACACAGAAGGCTTCTTGCTGGCCACTACTTACTGGTGGGGATCCCATCGCCTGTCCCAGAGGCCCAGGTAGGCCTTCCTCAGGGCTCCATCCTAGGAGGCCCGCTTGCTGAGGTGGGTGGGTAAGGCTGAGCCAAACATAAGATTTGGGGGAATAGATCAGAAAGTTGTCTTCCTCCCTTAGTGACAGCTTCCATCACCACAGTGGGATAAGCAGGATGCTTATGGGATAAAAGAATACTAGGGAACGGCCAATTAGCTTGTGAATTAAAACACATTCGCTGAAGAAGCCCAGTGTGTCCTACCAAGATATTTCGTGTGACGTAGTGTTTGATGGTGGTGGCCTTGTTTATTAGAGGCCACTGTACACTATCTCATCTCCCACTCAAAATAAAAGATTCTTGCATGTTAACCAGAGATTGCTCCCCAACGCCATCGACCTCTTTATCGATATTGTGGCTATTATTATTAGAATTCAAGGAAAGGAGAATTCACGAGGGAAATAGAATGAAGACGGAGTAACGCTCAACTGTTTTCTCCTACTTTCAGAAAAAAACGAAGATGAAACCGTGGATTTTCACTCTCCCGAACTTCCCGTGACCTGTGGCGAGGCAAAAGGGATCTTGTATAAGGAGATGATGGGAAAAGGTGAGTTCCTTGGCATTCTGCTCTTTGGAAGCCCTACGTGAAGGCAGCGCTAGGAGGGCGGAGAGTACCCACGTGTGTAATTGCTGGGCAAATGGACGCTACAAGCCAGGCTGCAGAAAGGGAAGAGCTTGTAGAGAAGGAATATTCAAACCAGTCAGACACCTAGCGGCCAGGCCATCCCATCCCCACGCAGAAGTCCTCCAGGGACCCCGGCCACTGCTCCCACCTCCCAGGGGGCCGCTCGAGACCCGGAAAGGTGGAACGTCACCATCAGGAGGCTGGACGCTTAGAGCGAATTCAGAGAATGGAGGAGGGTCCTGGAACGGGTCTGCGTCTGTCTTCCAGGAACCTCAGTGAAGTGCATTGAAAACGAAGAGGGGGTTTGGTTGACTCTAAGAGAATTTGAAATCGAAGGGAAGAAGGCGCATTCAAAGAACTGGAAGCAGAGCGTGCGTTGTGGGGGGCTGCCCCTGGCACAGCTGATAGAGGTACGACAGTGACAAGGGGCGGGCAGGTGGCTGGTCTGATTTCTTGAGGGATAAGTGGAAGGTCGGTAACAGAAGTGTGAAGAGATGCCCGTTAGGATTCCACAGCATGACTGAGGAAGAGCTAAACGTTCACGGGGGAAAAAAAAAAAAGATGTGGGTGATAAAGTTGAAAATACAGGTTGGCACTGATGGTGGAGAATTTTATGTGCAAGCAAAGGGTCTTGAGGTCGGGAGAGATTTAAGAAGCATAGGCTGGTGGTATGGGGTCGGGTGGACCGGAAAGAAAGTAGGTGAAGACGTAGACCCCTGTGATGTCTCCCTCAGACCCTATGCCATGTGGACCCCTCGGTGAGGTGTTTCCCGGCCGCCCTGTCACTGGCCAGGGCTCCTCTGCATGTCCCTGTGAGCAACAGAGTATTAGGGATCCCAGAACCTAACGCGAAGCTCTTTCGCTGGGACGAAATCATAAAGATTTTATCTAGAGAGAAAGAAATGAAAAATAAAAGAAGTGGATGGGAAAGGGACTGAGAAAGACACGCTGACAGGTCCTGGGTTTGAATAACAGGGAAAAAATGATTTCATCAAGTTCAGCGGAATCGTTGGAGGGGGAAGCTCATTTTTCCTTCAGACACATTGGGTTCGAGATCCAGTACCATGTCCAGGAACAAATATTCACCAGGAAGTAGGAACTTTGATATTTACAAATGAAAAGCCTCTAGAAGAATCTAATTCTTTAACCTCTTCTCTCTTTCAGAAAGGACTTTTGTTCTGTCCTCCACGAATAAGTCTCAAGAGAGAGGTAAATAGCAGGTGAATTTCTACCACATTCTAGTCGCCATGTTGTGGACATTTCACGTCCAAAGGCTCACCTTCCGGTCCTCGAGTTTCCCAGCCCTGAGTCGCCAGCACATTTAGACACTGCATCATCATGACAACTGCTTTAGCACACCGGTACATGTGCATGCTGCCATTATTTTCATAGCTAATTTGACATAGGGAAGCACATAATTCTTTCAAATAAAGATTAGAATAAAAGCGGATGAGCTACCTGTATTTTAGACAAAGATCTGGATATCTGGATGATGACAAAGCAAAGGTGTCAGCACTTGGGTGCCGTAGTTTGAAAAGCAAATATGGACACTGAAATAGACAAGAACAGGAAGGGCAAGATGATCATTCTTGATGGAACACCAAGTCATCCTCAATTCCACACGCTCAGTATTGGGAGGGCGAGTAGGGTGATGTGTTTGAACTGAGCTTTGTCTCTGTGGACAAAGCCTCCCTCCCTCCAGGTGACAATGGCAGGCGCCACCTGCTTTTCCTCGGCCTTCTTTACTCGCTTAGATGTGTCCTCCAGATGCAAATCTGGTTCATGAGCTTCCCATGAGATGCGAACCTCCTGCCTAGGCAATAGTGCCTCTCCCATCTTGCTTTGGGTGCTGGCCTGACCCCTGGCTGGATCTATTCAAAGTTTGTAGGGCAATGGTCCCCCAGTGCCATTTCTAGTGTAAACCATCATTTCTATACTGGTTCGAAACATACTGATAAGTACAGGGGTGCTCCTTGTAACAGCAAAAAGATGAGGAAGCATAAAAATGTCTATCGGTATTATGAAATTACCTGAGACACCTACAGAATGGTATATTCTTTTACTAATGCATGGATTCATAGTTATACATTCGTCCAGTAGAAAACCGCTCGAGGGTTTTAAGGTCTGGAAGCTTAAACCGGTAGTAATATGTATGGAAGGAGCACCATCTTGTTTATATGAATATGTAGGTTTATGACTAAAAAAGTATCTGAAAGAACTAGCTATTCTGGGATGGTTTTACAGGGGACATTTGCCTCTCATATTAGACATTTATGTACATGTGGAATTTTTATCATAATCATCTATTACTGTTATAACCAGAAAAATAAAACAATAAAGATATTTCCAATCAGATCATTAATTAACGGCCCCAATACTATAGTTTCTTCTTACCCATAATTCCACATGTCAGTACGTGACAGCCAGGGGCACGCTTGAGCCGACCTTTCAGCCTCATCTGTCAGGAGCCCCACTGGGCGGAGGATGACGTTTAGTGCTGACTTCATATGGGCTGATGCAGGCCTTTCCCTCAGCCACGGCATACGATGCGTCACATTGCTCTGTGGCACACCCAGTCTCCACTGGCGCATAGCTCAGCACCTGTGAACCATCAAGACACCTGATGCTGACACTGGCCGCCCTGTGGGGTGCAGTGCCCATGACCCAAGGCAGAACAGGTGCAGCTGCCGGGCTCAGGCCTCTGAGAGCCTCCCTCTGCAGAGGCCTCGCATGTGGACAGCAGCCGCTGTCCTGCAAGAGTGTAGCATGAGGCTGAGGAGGATGCTTCAAGGCAGGGCGAGGATTCTCTTGCTGAGACGAGGCCTGTCTGGTTTGAACTCTTCCCTGGGACTGAGGGAGGGAGCGCATGAGCTTTCTTTTCAACTTGGCCAGAACTGGCAAGAGAGGAAGAGGCTGGGGTGAAAGCTGTCAGCGGTCAGTGTGAAAACCAGAGCTGGACTCTCATAGAATGTGATCATGGAGTCGCATGTCCTTTCTCTCTCTGTTTCTTTGTCACAGCATGTGTGTCAGGAATGGTTTCACTCCAGAGCATGGGGGGAGGAGAACCTGGGGTTGGGCTCAGGGCTCTGGACCCACCCAGGGTCTCAGCTACAAGCACTGAGCAGGTTGGGCTACCTGGGGAGGTGGCATCTGCACTCTGGACCAGCGCAGGCCAGGGGTCAGTCAGAGGGCAAGAATGGCCATAGAGGTCAACCTCAAGGACAAAGAAGGGCAGACTGGCAAGTTCAGGGTGGGAAGGCCAGAAAGATCCACTCACGTTCAAGGTGGGGGGAGCCCTCTTCAGGAAGTCCTGGGGCCCAGTAAGTGGAGGGAGCTGCCGGAAAGCCTCCCCAGTTATGACAGAGGTGACCACTCCCAAATCGAGGGGGGATTTTGCTCCGGCTGAGCGGTCAGTGTTGAGAACGGAGGAAGCCTTCCCCAGGCGCTCGGGCTTATGTCGTGGACGGTGCCGGTGGTGGCCGCCTTCCTCTCCTTAGGACGGATTCCCAGACCTCTGAACCTTTGCCCCAGCGTCTGTCCGTCTATTTCCTGCCTTTTCGCCCTCCACCGTCTCTCTGGGGGTGAAGGTCCAGAGCTTAGATCTCAGGATGTAAGGGGAGTGCCAACGAGGTCTGAGTGTGAAGAAAGCGCTCTCTCGTGCGTGCGTGTGGGGCCGGCACAGAACTTCTCTACTCAGGCTCGTGCGTCTCTATCCAGCAGTAATGACCGTTTCCTCACGTGGGCTCCAGCCGCCTGGGCTCAAATTCCTGTACAAACCACCTGGAATCCTGTTCGAATGCAGATTTTGTTCAGTCCGTTTGCGTTTCTGATGATGCTGATGCTGCTGGTCCTCCGACCACACTGTGCAGAAAGGGCTGAAATGACCTGCCAGTCCCTTCCGGCTCTGGTATCTGTGGCTCAAGTGGCTGCGGGACAGTTCTTGGCACCTGCTCTTGCAGGATTGAAAGGCCAGGCTGACCCTCCGTCAGCATCCCGTGTGAGCACCACGGTCCGGGGGATTGAAAGTGTCCACTCGCGGACGGGCGGCGGCGCCATGCCCCGCGGTGTCAGTGCTCTGTGGGTCTCGCTGATCCCAGCGGCACCCGCATTATCTCCCCTTCCAACAGAAAACCTCGGGCAACTGTGAGGTGTGCTGTAGAGGGGGACCACTGCTCTGCTGCGACACTTGTCCAAGAGCCTTTCATAAAAACTGTCACATCCCGTCTGCGGAGGCCGAGAGGTCAGTAAGACGCAGCCCGCCTGCCCCGCGCACACACCCGCCAGGATCCTGGTCACTTCGCTCCAGATAGGACAGCAGGACCTGTGAGAGTGATGGGTGCAGCTGACCCAGAACAGCCTGATGGGTGGCAGCCTGTGTTCCCCCTGGTCTCAGTGACAGCCCTGTGTCTGTGAGCCTGTGGCCGGGCCACCTGGCCCATGCTGCCACCGCCCCAAGGAGCGTCCTTTCCTAGGTTTGCAGCAGACTCCTGTCCCAGGGGGATGGAGATGGGAAATGCCAGCTCTCTGTGTTCTCTGCTTATTCAGAAAAGGCAGGAAACGTGGCCTGGTTCCAATGGGCTGATGGAGGCCGAGGTCCGCAGGGGTTGAGGTCCAGTTCTACACAATCGGGCCTGGTGGGCAGGGCTCCTCGTGCTCAGACAGAGAGAGGAGAGGCTGCCACTCGCCCTATCTAGACAATCGGGCCTGGTGGGCAGGGCTCCTCGTGCTCCCAGCCGCTCAGACAGAGAGAGGAGAGGCTGCCACTCGCCCTGACACGGCCCTCCACCCACTACGCTCCGTCTACCCCTGACCTGCAGTGGGAGGGGGTGGTCAGCTCAGACCCCACATGGGGGTCTTGGAGACTCTGGGAAGTGTCCCCTTCATGCCCTGGCTGTGCCCATCAGCCATTCTTGGAAGGAGGACAGTGGCAGCTGGAGGAACGATGGCTGTTTCCAGGGCCTGGCCCTGGCTCACTTATGCCCAACCTCTCAGGAGCCCGTGGAGCTGCACCTTCTGCAGGATGAAGGCGTCTTCAAGGAGTCGGCAGCATCGCAGAAAGTCTGTGGCCCTGGCAAGACGGATGAGCCCTGAGGAGCAGCTGGTGAGTTGAGTGGGAACCCCGAGCCTTGTCCTTCCACTCACACGTGAGACGTCAGCCACAGAGCCTTCGACATCTCGCTTCAGAGGACGGCGATTCAGGGCCCAGACAGGGAGCCCGAACCCCCTCCTCACGGCCCTTTGGCTGACGTGGTCGGAGGGGCTGTGTGTCCGGCCGCTGCTGGCTGCACTGTCAACAAGCCACACTTCAATTTAAAGCTGCCTTGATGTCTTACAGAAATGTGAATTCCTCCTCTTGAAGGCCTACTGCCATCCACAAGGCTCCTTTTTCGTGGCGACCCCACGTAATGTAAGTCGCATCTGATGATTCTCGCCCTCCAGGCATCTCATGTAAAACTTGTCCTACAAACTTAACACATGAGTCCCACATGCTACTGTCGCAGAAGCTGCTCTGCGGACTCCACCCCACGCCCCTCGCCC